TGTACCACTACCTCCCTCAAATCAGTGACACCATATTTTTTTCATGTCTGGTGGTCGGTATATTGTTGGACCATCTCTCTAGATTTACCACAACCTCCCTCAAATCAGTGACCCCACATTATTTTTCCTATCTGATGTTTGACTATCTCTCTACATGTTCAACAATTTCCGAACTGAGAAGGCAGCAAAAATGGTAATGAGTTGTGGTGTTGAATCTCTGAGCTGAGAAAGCGGATAACATGCTAATCAGCTGTGGTGTTGAATATTATTGACGTAATGTTCATATTGGCTATTCATACATGTTGAAAGTGCCAGGCACTCGCGGTCACGTCTGTGACGCTATTGTGGTAGGAGCAATCAGCACATCACTGCATCATTAGGAACATGTGTTCCCATGGAAACCTTTATTAACAGTCTGCTGATGATGATGTGGAGACTTCTGTCAATCTTTGTCACAAAGTGAGTCATTCAGAATAGGACGTATTCCACTGCTGCTGCTTACTGCGATTTGGTCAGGATTTGTTTGTCTAGTCAGTTCACCTTAACGAACAATTGAACACCCGGGGTGGAAAATTGAATCCGTAGGCGTGATCTACTCTCAGGTAGCAGAATTCTTTTCTGTGAAAATTAGCCCTATTCGGTCCTTGGGCAATACCTCCAACGTAGGTTCGGCCATCACACTATCAGACCAATGGAGCAGTGTAACAACGTATCCTTTGGAATGAATGTTTCAGTATATTTAGTTGAATCAGTATGTATGATCAACACAGTCATTCTCCTTCTGGTCATCTGCCGGACGCCCTCACTCAAGGGGTTCTCGGGAGTTTTGTTACTGAACGAACAGGTTGCCTGTTTAATAAGTCAAGTGTCTGGTGTGATGTTTATGTATGCGAGGACAACGGCGCCTGGTAGTTACTTTCATAATACGACACAAGTTCTCAGGTTATCAGCTCATTCTGTAAGCCTATGTCTCTTGTTTGTCATCAACCTCAATTTGTATTTGGCTGTCTGCAAAGGAACAATGTACAAGAGATTGGTTACATGGAAAAGAGTTGCAGTCGTCGTCATGGCAACTTGGATACTGTGCTTTGTTTGGGGACTTGCACCTTTGTTCTATGACTTTTTGATTCTGGACTGTACATTTCTCCTTTTAGTACCCAATCCGACTGCTGTAACAGGATGGCGGACTGTTGGGTACCTCCTGCAAGGTGGTTTTACAATAATAGGCAGCATTGTGATACTGTTGAAGGTCCGCTATCACAGGAAAAGAGTGCAGCCCGATTACACACGACGAGCCATGTCTGACACGCAGAAAAAGATAAAATTGATGAGACTGGCATTTGTAGCAGTCATGCTTCAAGCTATATCATTTACGTTTGTGGAACTGTTTTTCTATTTGGCCAACTCGACCTCGAAACTTTCAATTGTGTTACAACGATTGATGCCTATCATATTTGTGCTAGACAAAATCTACAGTTGTTTCAGATTGTGTTTTTATCTGTCTCTGTACAAACCGATGTGGGAAACCACCAAATCCCTCCTGCCCTGTAGTAAGGTGAAGGTGAATCAGAGAATCACTCCTACGCAGCCGACAGAAAGAGGACAACGGGATAATGTCAGTGCAGCCAACAAGGACACGCCCATCAACGTGATAACGTCATTTCCGTCCACACGGAACACATCCATGTAACATCGAAACGTTTACCCATCCCACAGAGGACACAATCAACAATGTGATATCATCATTCCCATCCACAGGGAATGCATACAGGTAATTTCAGAACGTCAACAGATCCTACAGGGGACATACTAGACAATTGGATAACGTCAGTCATTTCAACACATAGTACAGAAACAACGCCTTGACCTTAGTCAAACCCATATAGGACTTACATGGATCCTACAGCATGATACCTGCGGACGGCAAGTAACGAGACCATAAAACTGGCGGTTTGCTTTTCATCACTTTAATCAAAGTATGCTAGACGAAGTATGTTCGTATAAAACCAAACATATGAGAGAGATGTCACACCAACATTAGTGTAACAAAGATGTTGCTTTACAAATATTTTGTTTGCTGGTTTTAGAACAGGCTGACATTATTTTGATAGAAATCGTGCAGCATTGTTAAATTGAGAATTGTTTTAGTATGTTGTGAAGGGATAAAAGCATCATATTTCATACATTTAGCCAAGCGTTTATAGCTACCAATATTGCCCCTCCTCTACTTCATAACTGAATGTGTTATACACTGTACATGTTGTTGATAAAATTATCTTTTTACTTAGGATGAATGAATGAATGAGTTTAGTTTTACGCCGCTTTTAGCAATATTCCAGCAATATCACGGCGGGGGACAGCACAAATGGGTTTCACACATTGTACCTATGTGGGGAATCGAACCCGGGTCTTCGGCGTGACAAGCGCACGCTTTAACCACTAGGCTACCCCCACCGTCCCTTTACTTAGAATGAGTGGGATGGGTAAACGTTTCGATGTTACATGGATGTGTTCCGTGTGGACGGAAATGACGTTATCACGTTGATGGGCGTGTCCTTGTTGGCTGCACTGACAATATTCAAAGAAAATATTCTTTTTGGCTATTTATTGAAAAACAAAAATCATTTAAACCGTGTAATTAGTGTCAAAACGAATCATTTTCAACTTTAGAAAGAACAACTAACCACCAACATTCCAGTTCATACAGAAGGAGCTCACTGAATTTTACAAGTTAACAAAGTATACCTCTGTCATTAATTGTATTAGACTTCCTGACTGAGTTTGGTTTTACGCTGCTTTTAGCAATATTCCAGCAATTTTACGGCGGGGAACACCAGAAATGGGCTTCACACATTGCACCTATGTGGGGAATCGAACCGGGTCTTCGGCGTGACAAGCGCACGCTTTAACCACAAGGCTACCCCACCGTCCCTTTACTTAGAATGAGAATTACCACTAAAGACGATTGTTTTCATAATTGTGTTCGTGAACAGTGTTGTAAACTCAGGGTGAAACTCATCACCAATACATTTTTCAGGGGTGGCTCACCTTTCATGACAAAGAGACAATACAATTTGTATATACAATTGAAATGAAGAGGTACTGTTATTTTTGCATAATTTATATATTTATCTTAAGCATTTACACGGTTTTGTATGACAATATATACAAGAAAAATAGAACATGGCGGTTTGACCAGACCTTATTGAAATAGTCTCTATTACAATTGGGGCGGTGAGGTAGCCCTAGTGGTTAAAGTGTAGGCTCGTCACGCCGAAGACCCGGGTTCGAATCCCTACATTGGTACAATGTGTGAAGCCCATTTCTGGTGTTCCCCGCCGTAAAATTGCTGGAATATTGCTAAAAGCAGCGTAAAACCAAACTCAGTCAGGAAGTCTAATACAATTAATGACAGAGGTATACTTTGTTAACTTGTAAAATTCAGTGAGCTCCTTCTGTATGAACTGGAATGTTGGTGGTTAGTTGTTCTTTCTAAAGTTGAAAATGATTCGTTTTGACACTAATTACACGGTTTAAATGATTTTTGTTTTTCAATAAATAGCCAAAAAGAATATTTTCTTTGAATATTGTCAGTGCAGCCAACAAGGACACGCCCATCAACGTGATAACGTCATTTCCGTCCACACGGAACACATCCATGTAACATCGAAACGTTTACCCATCCCACAGAGGACACAATCAACAATGTTATATCATCATTCCCATCCACAGGGAATGCATACAGGTAATTTCAGAACGTCAACAGATCCTACAGGGGACATACCTAGTGTTTCCTCCAGACAACAAAAAGGGCAGGGTGAAGGTTCTACAGAAAAGGGCATCCTGGTTTGAAAAGGGCACAAACCACAATCAAATCCAAAATAAAATGATAAGATTCAGTCTCATTTATTGTCAGTTCTCTTAAGGCCTATAGTCGCCTTTGCTTTTTTCTCAGGAACCTTTTCACAACAGCTTCCATGTCAATGTCACTGTGACTGCCTGTGTTAAGGCTGATCATGAGGAGCTTGTTACAGTTGCTGACTTTCAGTCTGTTCCTATGCTCAGTCACAACTAGTTTCACTTGGGAGAACACCCTCTCCACCTCAGATGTTGACAAGATGACGGTAGCATTTATCCCAAGGAGCTTGACCACATTGGGATACAGGGCACCTGTCTGTGGTTTCAGCGTTGTCAGGGTCTTCAGCATTGCCTGTGGAGTGATGTCAAAGTGATGTCTTCTGTGAACAGCTCTTTCACTGCTGTCCACTCTGTCAGGGTCTAGTCAGCATCTAAGCCAAAGCGTTCAGCTAGCTCTGATATCTGTAACAAATAAAATGTGATCAGCATTTCATCTGTAAGAAACAAGACAGGTGAAGTATATTTATCTGCAACAATTTGTAAACTATTAAAAGACAATGACTGTTGCTTATTATTTATGGAAATAAATCACAGTTTTGGATTCAAGCCTGGCAAAATGTTTAACAAAATCTTGAGAGTTGTTTCAGAAAAATATCAAAATGACATACCTCTGCATCACCAAAGAAGGTCAGAAAAAGAAGCATCTCCAGCCTTCCTCAGGTCCAAGGATGACAGGTTTGTCAATGTAGGGGTGTAGGCCAGCCTCTCCTCCAAGTTTGTAACAAGACGGTCCAGGAACAAGTCTCTTGATTCCTCCACTTTCAGTCCTCGATGGGAATCCCTCTCTACTTCTCTACTTCCTGGACAGATCCAGCCACTTTGACAGATGGGGTCCAGACTTCTCACGAAGGATATTCAGCCTCTGGTTTTGGGGGCCCCACAACACAGATCCGGGTCTCTTCTCTCAAACAGGGGACGGTGGGGTAGCCCTAATGGTTAAAGCGTTGGCTCGTCACGCCGAAGGGTTCGAATCCCACATGGGCATAATGTGTTAAGCCCATTTCTGGTGTCCCCGCCGTGATGTTGCTGGAATATTGCCACAAGCGGCGTAAAACCAAATTCAGTCAGTCAGTCAGTCTCTCAAACAGCTTAGTGAGAGGGCTGACACTGTTGAGCAGACATCACACAGTAGGAGGATGATGTACAATTTGTCATAGGACTTGAGTTGCCTGTAGAGGCATTCAGCTGTAACACTCTGTCTGTCACCTGCTCTCTTGTCGTTGCCCATACCAACAGCATTTTCCAAATCAGCTAAAATGGCTGGATACAGCTGACGGACAGTGTGGACTGCCTTCTCATGGCTCAGCCATCTAGTGTGTACAGCCTTCTTTATTGTAAGAGTTCGTAGTTTTTCTTCAGGCATTTCCATAGCATTTGATATTTTTGCATCTGTTCCAGGCTTCTTTTTTGTTCTGACAGTGCTGTAGTGATAATTACTTAAAAAGTCCCATCAAAAGTTCTTCCACATTCTCAATGGACGTGACAGATTTGAAAGCGGAGCTCACTGCAAGCTGCATTCTGTGATTAATGCAGTGAATGTCAATCAGACTTGGATTTTCCTTTTTCAGTTGAGCAACCACACCATTCTTCTTTCCTGTCATGACAGCAGGTCCATCGCTGGCAAAACAAGTCATTTTGCTCTTGTCTAGGTCTGCGTCATGAAGATAGTCTTTGATGTTCTCAACTATAGTATTGGCAGTGCCGTTAGGTATCTCCACATCTCGAAGGAAGGCCAACTTTGATTCTCCTTCTTCTATGTATCTTCCAGCAAAGGCAAGATGCTTCCTTGTTGCCACATCAGTATACTCATCCAACATTAAGCCATATGATTCACTGCTCCTCATCTTGGCCTGAATCTTCTCTTCCACAATATCTGATTGGCTATCAATAAAATCCTGTATAATCACATGACTTGTATAGGTTGCATTCTTTGCCTGAGATAGGTTTGCAAGATTCTTTGCTCCAAGTTCAACACAAAGGTTAACAAGTGGCTTGAAAAGTGTCATGTGAGGAAGGTGGTGCTTAATGAGGAAGTACAGAACCTTCTGGGCATCAATCAATGCAGTCATTTCACTTTTTTGTAGTTTACCTAATGTCTCATCAATGGTGGAAAGTTCATTCTTTTCAAGATGAATTGAATCTTCATGCATCTTAGATAGTTCATGTGCATTCACCTTGTCCAGTCTTATTGTTTCACAACCAATCTTGTTCCAGACTACAGATCCATTTCTTCCTTTTGTATCCCACTTCTGACATAGAGAACAGAACATGAGAGCTCTGGGCATACAGTCCTCGTCTACTTCTTCTTGGTACCTTAGCCAAGGTCGGTTAGTCTTCCACTTCTCGTCAAATGTAAGCTTGTGACCACCTCCAATCCTCTTCTGAGTTGTGAAGCATGGTGTTCTCTCAGACTGCTTACAGTCAAGTACAACAGTAGGTGTGTCAGAGTTCAAAATGGAGTCACAAGAATCCAAACTGATCAGGGCTGCATCCTTACTAAGTGAAACTGTGTCCAAAGTATTGGGACCTGAAGACGAGGTGGAGGTATCAGGCGGGCTATCATCTCTGTTGACGTGTCTGCTTCATAAGAAACAACCTCGGACTCTTCCAGATTTGGTCTGAAATTGCATCAATAATAATTTGATAAGATAGTATCAACAAATTGTTATTAATCGTGAATGAATTTATCGCTGCAATGTTCAACTTTATTGTGTATTTCATACTAAAATAAATATTTAGTTTGGGCTATTTGTTGCTAAGTGTTTCTAGTGTTTTACTTTATGCTGACAATAACAACTCTAAAAACAAAACAAATAGTTACGAAAGAAACACAGCTGAACATGAAATAGTGAATAAACTTTTCAAGGACACAGCTGATAAATAATGTCATAAAAGAGTTACAATTTATGTACAGTAAATCAACTATGCTAGAAGTTGTATTGTGATACTGATGAAAACACTTACACTGCAAATAAATTATATGAACTGAAACTTTAATAAATGAATCTATGAATAATTATGAGTACTGCAAATAATATGTTGACTTGAACATTTATAGATAAGGATGTGTGCATCATGATCTTATAATAGATTCTAATATTTTTATATCATGTCGACAATAACAACTCTCAAAGCCAAAATAATTCCGAAAGAAAGAAAAGCTGAATATGAAATGCTGAATTAACTTCTCAATGACCCAGCTGATAAATAACATGAAAAAAGAAATATTCTTATTGCGATTGAGACACGTGAAAAGTAAAGATGTAGACCTAATAGATCTCGTGTAAGAAATGGCTTCCTTTTGTTTTTTGGAATGTTATCCATGTAATATTTCAACTACATTTCAAGTATATAATCTTTAATATCAATATGTAGGATCCAGAAATAATTGTATATCGTATTTTATTAAAATACAGTTTTTTACAATAGGCTAGACATTGATTTAATTCTCGACGTCGGACATGTTCGCTTTGACAACATCCAAGATGGCGGACTCGTGACTGCCTTTGTTTAGAATTAGTCGATGTTTTAATGCTACTGCAGGTATATACAATAATATTACACTAAAATAAAACAGAGCTTAAGTACTGACTGGAATAGATAAAATATAATTGTTGAACATAATAAATTCCCCCAAGGTGAACAGAGTTAGTGTTTAGGCTGACAATACTGAACGAAAATATCGTTGAAATACCTTGAAAAGAAATCGAGTAGTCGGCGACATTTCTTGGCTTCTTCCTTGATTCCTTGTTCCCTTTTTCTCTTGAGACGTTCTTTGGTGGGCATTGTGAAATTGAAATGTTAAATGCCTTCATTTTGAATGTTTACAAATAAATACACATTTGATAATTGTTATGAAAACAACATTCGAAACTTCCGAAAGGGGAGGTAAGTCACGGTGATATTAAAATCCGGAAAATTACGCAAGTACGAGGACACGTCAAAAAGGTCACAAGTAAAGTGCAGGGCGCTGTTAAAAAGGGCAGGGCGCCGGAAAAAAAGGGCAGGGCGCCAGAAAAAAGGGCAGGGCGCAGCGCCCTTCTAAAACGCTCTAGAGGAAACACTAATACCAGACAATTGCATAACGTCAGTCATTTCAACACATAGTACAAGAAACAACGCCTTGACCTTAGTCAAACCCATATAGGACTTACATGGATCCTACAGCATGATACCTGCGGACGGCAAGTAACGAGACCAGAAAACTGGCGGTTTGCTTTTCATCACTTTAATCAAAGTGAGCTAGACGAAGTATGTTCGTATAAAACCAAACATATGAGAGATGTCACACCAACATCAGTGTAACAAAGATGTTGCTTTACAAATATTTTGTTTGCTGGTTTTTAGAACAGGCTGACATTATTTTTGATAGAAATCGTGCAGCATTGTTAAATTGAGAATTGTTTTAGTATGTTGTGAAGGGATAAAAGCATCATATTTCATACATTTAGCCAAGCGTTTATAGCTACCAATATTGCCCCTCCTCTACTTCATAACTGAATGTGTTATACACTGTACATGTTGTTGATAAAATTATCTTTTTACTTAGGATGAATGAATGAATGAGTTTAGTTTTACGCCGCTTTTAGCAATATTCCAGCAATATCACGGCGGGGGACAGCACAAATGGGTTTCACACATTGTACCTATGTGGGGAATCGAACCCGGGTCTTCGGCGTGACAAGCGCACGCTTTAACCACTAGGCTACCCCCACCGTCCCTTTACTTAGAATGAGAATTACCACTAAAGACGATTGTTTTCATAATTGTGTTCGTGAACAGTGTTGTAAACTCAGGGTGAAACTCATCACCAATACATTTTCAGAGTTGGCTGACCTTTCATGACAAAGAGACAATACAATTTGTATATACAATTGAAATGAAGAGGTACTGTTATTTTGGCATAATTTATATATTTATCTTAAGCATTTACACGGTTTTGTATGACAATATATACAAGAAAATAGAACATGGCGGTTTGACCAGACCTTATTGAAATAGTCTCTATTACAATTGGGGCGGTGAGGTAGCCTAGTGGTTAAAGTGTAGGCTCGTCACGCCGAAGACCCGGGTTCGAATCCCTACATTGGTACAATGTGTGAAGCCCATTTCTGGTGTTCCCCGCCGTGAAATTGCTGGAATATTGCTAAAAGCGGCGTAAAACCAAACTCAGTCAGGAAGTCTAATACAATTAATGACAGAGGTATACTTTGTTAACTTGTAAAATTCAGTGAGCTCCTTCTGTATGAACTGGAATGTTGGTGGGTAGTTGTTCTTTCTAAAGTTGAAAATGATTCGTTTTGACACTAATTACACGGTTTAAATGATTTTTGTTTTTCAATAAATAGCCAAAAAGAATATTTTCTTTGAATATTGTTACCGGTCTTTGCATTTTGTGCGATATCTAATTTTTCAGGCCTCGCAAGATGGTGCTCACTTTGTTGCATTCCTAGAATATATGTATGACATTTACATTTCTTTAGAACAGTAACTGCCTTTTATACTGTCTACGTGACCCCTCTTAGTGAGACGGCAGTTCTTTGGCAAGATGTGATATTGGAACCACTGTAGTTCAGTCACATTCGTGCAACTAGACGGGACAGAATAGATACTCTTCTTATCTTGTTCGTTAATATCGTGTCTAAGGTCGTATTCCCATTTGGCAAAGTGATTATTTCTCTCGCAAATGTTTAATTAGTATTTATAGAAACACTGTGAACCTTGATTTTGTTTGTTTAGAGGGTATATATGGAATGGCAAAATGGGAGATTGTAGGAAAGTGTTAAAGTTGGTAATCGTTGACTTCGACAGAAGGTCACATGCAACCTAAAACACAACTTTACAGATTCTGATGCCTTTCGGTATGGACTTACAGTACCGAATAATCAAATGCAAATGCAAATTCAACTTATAATGTTGATGAAATAACGCGATGAAAAAGACCCCGCGAAATCGGAGTTCAAACGATTCACTAAATTCACCCCAGCGCTAGGGGTGAAAAGTGGTTTCAACAGTTGGGCTGTGCTCATAGCGCATGTGCAGTGAAATAGGTTCGCTCAGCTTGGAAGCGGGATGTCCGGATTTAATATAAAGTGAGCAGGAGTAGTCTAATAAAAAAAAATAGTAAATAATGTACTCATTACATAACTGAACCTTGTTAGGATCTAGATCTACTCAGCTATGTGTCAACCAGCTGTGCTGCGCTCATGGTGCATACGCAGTGAAAATGTGTATGTATGCCTGCCTGTCTGCTAATGACAATATGCAATACACAATCACTGACCACATGCAATTTAAACTTAACACCCATCAGGCTATACACCATAAACAAAATGCATTGATTTATGGCTGGTGCTGTCTCTGTCACAATCTGTAATTACACGGACAGGCAGGTGTGATACTTGTGCACATGAGCCAAAAAATGAGCATGTATTTACAAAACCCAACGTCTCTATACACACACCAAGAGTGTAAATGAACCAGCTAATGAAAGTCTTCGTTACACTTCGGTGCACGCCCACTCGCTCTGACTGGGTTCGGTATCACGGGTGCTTCATTTCGAGGGAAGTAAACCCATGTACAAAATATTGCACTTTGGATTTGCGATTGTACGCTTATGATTTTGTTTATATGTTTATTTCATAATCAGCAATGTATATTATATGTCATGAATACGTGATAACTGTGTTTTAATTATGTTTGTTTTTTTTGTTTCATGTGACCTTTAAACAGCTTGAACAACACCTGTTTTAAGCAAGAAAGTTGGGTTCTTTAAGTTGAAAACGGTTTTTAAGGTTTCGAATGACCAGAATTGTCACTTATTATCTACAAGATCCTTTATGAAACGTACCCCATTTACAAACCAAATTGTTTTTAATATGCTGGTATATTTGTGCTGAATGTCTTTATATGGTAGTTGTGAATTAATGCATCGCCAAACATCGCACTCTGGGCAGACTTGGTGAAGGACTTCACCTGGTTTACTACCATCGCTGTACCGTCAATCAATATCAATATTGTAAAACGAATTCATGTCTAATCTTGGCTTCAAGTACAGAGATAATCAAGCTCACAGCTATCAAAGTGACTGCAGCCAAGATACTAGCCTTATGCTGCATTTTATTAAAGTGACATACCTTTTGTACAGTCTGCATCCAAGATACTGTTTTAAGTTTAACAGTAATTCCAGCACAAGTAACGTCAGTCATGTTTACAGTCGCCATCTTGAACTTTCTGACGTCACGTTTGCGTATCATGTGACCTTACGTCACCTATAAATAGACCTGTCAAAGTTAGCGTCGGGGCGGCAATTTTGACTTTGACAAGCAAGGTAGGGTTCCAGGGTTACGTCCCAGCTAATTTCTCATTTTTCCATTATAAGACATTTTTATTGAATAACTTTTAATTAACTAGGCTATTATTAACACTTGGTCTGCTCTCTAAGTATCTAGTTGTGGATAAGTGATATTTGGGGGGTTATTTTCAACTTTGTTGATATCCGGATTTCGTCTGACAGCTCCGAGAATCCGACAATCTATCCGGATTCATTCCCACGGAATATTCCCGGATCATATGAATCAAGTGTACAGGTTACAGATACAGATACACTCACAGTTACAGTTATCAATCACAAGTCACGAGTGATTTTTTTTATGACAGCTGTCGGAGGTGTGGCCTCCTTAGTATTCATTCCGGGTCACGTGACTTCCGGAATGTGTTGTTTACGTTATCTGGATCCAGTTCCGGTTGCTGCAAATTCATACACTTTCAAGTTTGGAAGTTTATTGTACAGTTAATTCATTTAACAGCCCAGAGATCTGAACTGAGACTGGCACACTGTATTGCAAGACTGCTACAGCCACGAGGACACAGGTTGACGAGCATGGTATCCAGTCCCGATGACAGTCCAGATGACAGTCGGTATCGTGTCGAGACCGTGTATTTTCATTTTGGTGCTTTGTAAATAAATTCGTTATTGGAACTTTATCTACTTGTTGTGTGATCCTTCTGCATTAAGCCAGTTTCGACATTCACTATCTGTTAGGTCCTTGTGATATATTGTCACTAAACCTCGTCTCCGAGCTCTGGTATTTATTTTGTCACAAGTTGTGACTGGTGGCAGCATCTATATTATTTTTTGGTAGTTTGTCTACTAGAATTTATCGACTAGTCCTTGGCCGTTCCGTTACATTATCAACCTCAAATTTTAGATTCTGTCAAACAACCTTGGCACGCATATAATAGCTGTGGAATTCCTTGTTTCCATCGATGACATGCATCACTAGAGTCAGTGAGTGAGTTAAAATATTAAAGTCACTTTGGCAATATTTCAGCCATATCGTGACTAAAACAAGTTATAGATTAATATAAATGAATGGTAAATTATGAAAACCTGTCAACGAAAGACAGTAAAACAACTAGATTATCACAGATGGAAATTTAAAACTAGTAATAAAATCTAAAACATTTTAACTATAGAGGACATATAAAAAAACGGCTCTAGATTGCCAACAACTGACGGTAGATCCCCATACTGGGGACCATGGGGACTTACGGTACAGTTGCTTTCTGCATGGGCCCAAGCTGGATTTACATCATCCCTTCAGCTGAATAATCTAGCCATACATTAAAAATACACATATTATACGATTAAAAATGTGGAGAGTTTTAATTGGCTTTGAATGTTTTGGGACTTACGTACCCTATCAAGAGGACAATAGTTTTACAGTACTTTAACCCCCTTTGAGGATATAGCCACTAACAATCTAAGTTACTAATTTAAACTTCCAACCATAAAATATTTATCTATTTACAAATCACTTAACAAATCTAATTCTTTGAGAAATGCAATAATTAAATGAGAACATATGTTA